GGCCCAAGTAGAAACATAGGTGGGCCATCCAAGTTTTGAGTCGGTTTAGGGTCGGTTTACCAATTGTGGTGTTCGATTAACTTTCAGTCATTTGGACTATGCCGACTGAATTAATACAACGTAATTCATCATCGCCCGGGGGAGGTCGTTTGACAACAATTTGCCTAACAATATTATTCAATACAATTCTATTATCTCTGTATTGTCTTATTTTCTTATTTGCCAACATTGTTTCCCCAGCCAATTCATCATGGCATCCTTGAGCAATAACATTAAGAGACTGTGTCACATAAACATTAAGCGAAGGGGGCTTTTCACGAATATTCCTCAAATTTGTCAACGTAAACACAGGAGTTTTCTGCAAGCACAATTAAAAAAAAAATGCAAAGTGCATAGTATTGCATCAAACTGCTTCCAGCTTTCACCAGCACGAAAAAAAAAATCTGCTACAGCCATACATCCTTTCTGTATGAGCATCTCAGACAAAGGTTGAGTAGAACTCAATTGCCCGTGAAACAGAATCACCATTAAGTACTTCCAAAATCCAGATAAAAGTGCTCGGGAGAGATTTTGTAGCTGTTTCTAACAATTCGGACCTCACGTCAATCCCCTATAGAGCACAACCTTTAATGCATGAGACTTTGCTTCTAAAGGTGCATCAAGAGAAGCCGACAACAACAAACATTGGCAGAAAAGCAAAACCTGCAGTCCTAGCTCCTGACTAGCCTGATCATAATTTGTAGCTGAAAGAGCTGCATTCCTTTTTATTTCAGCTTCCTTGTGCTCTAATTCACCAAGCTGTTGTTGAGTCTTCTGGACCTGCTTCTTCTGATATGGGCTTCAAATCAAATTTGAAACGAATCAATTGGAAGAAAAGCACTAGTGAAAGAAGCTAATATAAAAGAAAGTTACATGCTGATGTATCTTTTAATCTGTAATTACCATATACTTTCTTACATTTCGTAATTAACATTTTGGACCATTATCTGAGCAGCCTCACCAAGAAAAATATGATCTTTTTCATATGCACGCACTATTGTCTCCCAAATACTCTGTCAAAGATTGAGAAACATTTTACAACCCCTGTTGTGAAGCAAATGTGTTGAGCACCATTAAACTCGGAGATATAAAGAGTCTGGAGTCGACTTTAGAAGAATATTATAAATATTTGCTTCGCTTCCAAGTACCCAATCAGCATAGACGTTGAAATTACACAATTTTACCTCCGAATCGACCGAATGAAATGTCACTTGGAAGATTTCTGCTTTCATCTGCATCCTTCATTTTTTATCGCAAACTTGGGTTCTTTCAGAAAAATTAGTGAATTTTTTCAGTGTTTTGTGTACTAAACATTTTATATTTCTACTGGTTTATCAGTCGTTGTGACTTGTGTGCTAACATACGCCGTGGAGTTGTTGTCTTATTGATGTGCTGGGTCGGTTTTAAGACTGGACTATGAGATAATTGCCCAATTATTTGAGAACAATTTGACATAAATAGCACCATAACAGGAAACTTGAAACGATAGCACATTCTTCTTTCTTTTGTGGCTTTGTCGCACTATCGAACCGAAGTACCAAGGACTCTCTCTCTCTCTCTACCAGTTCAGGTAAGCATCACCTTTCCTTTCTACGAATCGATGCGTGCATACAATTTTACACGCAGAGAGCGCGGCGAATGCACACTGTTACACGCGTTCACGCGCATCTGCAGATGGATAGTTGGCCACTACTATTTATAATTGTTGAAGGAAGAAATGTAAGATTGAATTCTAGGGCCGTGTTTTCAAGATGGAAAGTTTATCCAACAAAACGTTAAAAAGTAGTTAACTTTTCTCAAATTAGAGGTGTCAGATTGACACATAATAGTTAGTCCAATCGGGATCGGGTACGCTTTAGACCATTTTTTCCCTTGATTGGATTTGGGAACTGTAGGTTTGGTGGAGATGCTAGTACAGTGCAGGTAAAAATATGATTTTGAAAATTTAGATAACTAGTTGTTGGAATTGGGAGGCTAACATTTGGGTAAAATTGTTAAAAGGGGTTTATGCCTTCTAATTATTTTGCATAGAAGTATTTAGTTTCGGATTTCTTAATGCTGTATGCAACATAAAAGGGTAATATTGTTAAAAAGTAAATTGTCGAGGCAGAATACTATTAATTTTTCCGTGTTCAGATATTGATTTATCCATTGAAAACAACCTGTTGTAAGTACAAGAGAGGATAAATGTTGAATAGTTGGCTAATGTCGTTAACAGTCAAGTATGTGTTGTATTAGCAGAGATGTTTTCTCTAGGTTTTTTATTACTCCTGTAAATACATTGATAATTGAATCGCCGTGTTTCTATATCGTTCAGGCTTTGTCATGTCAGGCTGGCCCTATTAATTCTTTTTCTTTTATATTTTGTGCTGTATATGTTAATACTTTCTTCTTTTGGGACTGATTTTTATCTTTAAATTGGACATGATTATTCTCTACGGCAACGTTTTCTAGTTGGAGCGTAGCTATGGATCCGGCAGAGCTTAGACAGATGGAAGATGACACAAGTCCAATGATGAAAGCTATAAAGGGTGCAACCTCAGGTCTAGTTGCAGGCACAATTTGGGGTACCATTGTTGCTACTTGGCATGATGTGCCTCGAGTTGAGAGGAGCATTGCACTTCCAGGTCTAATTAGGACATTGAAGATGATGGGTAATTATGGGATGACTTTTGCTGCTGTTGGCGGTGTCTACATTGGTGTTGATCAAGTGATGCAGAAGTATAGGATGAAAAGAGACTTTGTTAATGGTGCTGTTGGTGGATTTGTTGCCGGTGCTTCCGTTCTGGGTTATAAAGGTGAAATCTTATTCTGCATTAAATATTATGGTTCTTCCTCTTGATAATTACAACTTTTTATGTATCTATGCACTATAACCAACAAGATGCATAGTTGATCTGGTACATCTACATAAATTTCACAAGCATGCCTCCTCCACCTGCCACTCATAATTCTCTTCACCTATCCATCCCCCTCAACCTCCCCTCCTTCCCTGTCTCCATATTCATCCGCCCCAACAATCAATCATCAGAACCCCCTCCACCGCTCTCAGATGGACCTTGCCCACCTCCCAGCCACCCAATGTCTTCCGATATCTAACCTCTCTTGCAACCCTAATCCCCACCTTACCCTCCCTGCTACTAAAACCTCCTCCATCCACCTCGCCATCTAAAAAATTGATGTAAACATGTAATATCCATTTGGTCATTTTGAAAAAAGACAGTATGTTATCCATTCACTCTCCACACACAATAGGTGCTTACTTTTTAGAATAAGCATCTCTATCTAAACAACTGTGCTCTTATCTTAAAATGTATACCATTTGCTTATAAGCACAAGATTCTCATTTTCAATTAAGCAATGGCGGGCTACATTTTTATCAGCTATCTTAAATGAGCTCGAAGATAATTTCTAATGTTATCTTGTGCACTGGGTGTGTGATAATCTGTGCATGTATTAATATGTGGTTGTGTCCGCTTCTTACATGCATATCGAGAATATGATCTCTAAGTTTTCTAACAGGACGAGACATGATCATTCTAAAAATGGTTTTTGTGCTGTTCTCACATTTTTTTCTCCACCTTCAGAAGACACCAATTCAAATGCTTTTCAGGCTTCATTGCTAAATATTTGTGAAGATAGGAACTGAATCATTTGCATTGCTGGCATACTGCGCAGTTGGCAGACATAAGATATTGTTAATTGATTATAGCTATTCATCCTGCCAATTATGCACTCAATATTTTATTGGAAAATTTTATACACGTCTTTGCAGTTCAGAAGATAGCCATGTTAAACTTTTTTTAAGACTATTAAGTTATTATGTGGGATAAACTAATTGTATTTGTACTCTCCCTTCCTCTCTTTTATTTTTATTTTATTACATCTTTTTATATGGTTTTCACATTGTTTTACTTATCAAGCTTGAATATTCCCTAATTTATTAAAGACATTATATCAGCAAAATTAAGCAGAATGAGTTATGAGCAAGACCTTGTAGAAAATATTACAAAACTCGAACAGTCGAACGTTTTGAATGTATTTTATGTACTGAATGAATGATACAGTTGTTCAATTCCACTTCTGTTCTCAATTATCGTTGTACGTATTACCCGCATTTTGAAATTTGGAATAGGTTCGTGTCTTGGATTGGAAGGCCTTCTGTGACATGGCAGGTTGGTGGTCTTGTTTGACTGGGTGTCACACGACACATGGTATTTTCTCATAAATTGTTGATGAAAGACTCGAATCTAGGACCTTTCTCAGCTCTGATACTGTACAATGAATGACCGCTCATTGAAAAGTGTTTAAGAGAAGATTAATTTATTTATTTAATTGCATTTATATCTTAAATAATTTGTTATTCGAGTAAATGAATTAATATCCTGTTCTTATGCCCAAGGGTGTATGGCTGCATCTTTATTGTTAACAGGCCTGCCATAGCTTCATTTCTATCCTCCACAGTTTTAGATGCTTATCAAGCCTTACAGTTTTACTCTACTGTATTGAAATTAAATACTAATATCCTGCCTGAATAAACACGCATTGGTAAATATGTTATTTTGGCTAGCTTACCTGCTGATACTGTCCTAATTTATGAAGTTATCCATTTTCCCTCTCATTTCGACTTGAAAAGGCGAAGTCAAGTTTTGGGTAGAATGTTCTGTCTTCCATATAGTGGCAATACATTGAATGGTGCTTATAATTTTGGCTTTTGTATTTATCATCGTCCACAGGAAGGAGCATATCCACAGCAATCTCTGCGGGAGCAGCACTTGCAGTGACTTCTGCTGTCATTGATGCTGGAGGTCAGACCACGAGAACTGATAATGGCAAGGAGTACTATCCTTACACCCTCAAGAAGAGGCCTAATGTGGAAAGCTAGTTGGAGCACTCGGATATTTAATGTATTTCTGGGCTATGTTTTCCGGCTTCTTATCTTTGTATCTGTTCTCATATGGCGAATTTGAATAAGTTCCTATTACTTTTAAGTTTCTACCATGAGAGCAAATCTCCACTTGGATGCATGTAGTTTTGGATTATGCTCATATGACTTAGAAAAGCCGTCAGGCAGTGTTATTGGAGCAGTTTCCTGCAAAGTGCATTTGTTGTTTAACGGAGAATAATCGTTAGAACTGGTTTATATATACTTTTCACCGTTGATTTTTACTATTCTTGTAGAATTGTGTTTTTCTCACGTGTTAGAGAGCTTTCTGAGTTTCAGTAACCATGACTATACTTGCATTGCATAATTGTGTTTTTCTCACATGTTAGAGCTTTCTGAGTTTCAGTTTCCAATGATTACAGCGCAACTATTGTAACAAGAAAATGGATTTGTTGAGCTCAAATTTGAACCCTAATTTCTCACACCAAGGTCTTAAGGTGTAATTTATTTTGCTTCTTAATTGTGGAGTGAAGTAACCAAATTTGAATTGTGGAAACAGGTGATCAAAGTGAGAAGAAATATGTGATCAAATTGATCGTCACGTTTGCTTGAAAGAAATGTTAAATAGAAGCATAAATGTGGGTGTGCAGCCCAAAATATCTGAGTACATCATAGATTTATTATTCCCTCAAACTTTCGCAGCATATCCCTCTAAGAAGCTAGTCATGGAGAGGTACATTCGCATAGCTATTTGGCGTATGTTGAGTTTTTGTCTGTTAACGGAAATAACTAGACTTAACTTTCCACCAAGAACGACCATGCATCACCACCTATAGAATCAAGAGAGCTCTCAATGTTTTCATTGTATTTTCATGTTTTAATTCATTTCGACTCTTTTAACATTGGATCATTACATCATTATTGTTTGTACATCTTTTGATCATGTTAGCCCGAATATGCCCGGAATACTTATCTATTAATTTTGATCGATACAAATTTACATTTACCGATTAAAAAAAAGAAAGTGCTCTTAATCTATCAATCCTTACTTTGTGGAAGGCAGATTCATAATATCCGTCCCACGAGGCAGAGAGTAAGATCTCACGTCAACTATACAATGCACAAAGGGTCTGGATGATCAAAGTGAATCGTGAAACATCACCATTTATGGGTTCATCTTGAATAGTGATATACATTGGGCCGGGCCAGTCCGGGCCATACAAAACTCGTTAGGGCACCCGGGACTATAAAAAACTAGGCAGATTGACAGTAAATCTGCGTGGATATCTGACTATGTCCGTATTTTTAGACTCTGGAGAAACAATAAGAACACAGTTTCACTTAGATCCTGCAAAAAAAATTCCTCTAACCGAATTCCACAACATAACTGGAAACATAGATATTACAAATTTATTCAACCGAAATACAATTGCAAGTAAGCAAATGTTTTTTTCTAACAGCAACCTGCACAATAATAGTCTGAACTGACTTGATGTAGTTAAGTCAACAGTAGTACTAAAGTTCCAACTGCCCTCCGACTCTGGCATCAACAAAAATGGCAAGAGGAACCTGAACTAGTCAATGGTCGAATCAAAGCAAAGGTTTAACTTTGAACTTCATCCTTTCAGTTCAATTTGAGGCTTGCTTAATCACCTTGTAAGCAGTAAAGCTGCCGGATATTTCCTGATGCTGTCAAATCATGCAAACGGAGTGTGTTAAAGCAAGTCACCATTTCTCCCTCTTCAAATGTAACCGGTAAAATTGCGAATAAGAACATATGATCAATATTATGAACAGATTCTCGTGGAAAAGGATGAGAAAGTTGTGGCATGTTTAATAGGTTGGACAGGATAGGTTTATAAAAAAGGATAAAATCTCGTATGTTTTTGTGTCCTGTCCAGTTCTGTCTAATAATGTGCACCAAACATGCCTTTGGTAGTTAGCTGCAGCCTTAAATGTGTGTTCATAATGCAAGTTTTAGTGCCTTGTAGGAGAAATGTACATGCATTGCATAATCATCAGCAGAACAAATGAAAAATATGCCAACTACAACTCAAAAGGAGAACAGGTAATTTCCAACAACTCCTCAAAAAGGGAACAGGTAATTTAAGAATTATTGCCACGGCAATTAAATAATGATCAGATCTGCCAAAGTATGAAAAGCTGGCAATAATTATGAAAGTGAAAATAAATTATAACTGCTCAATTCAGACCATTTATTCTTTAGATTAATCTACAGTTAAGAGGTCAACTTCCTATGCTGAAACATCAGCTGCCATTTGGGTAGTGCTTCAGATGTTCTTGGAGGTGTTTATATTTTATTATTATTTATTATTGTTGTTATTTTTGGGGTGGCGGTACAGAAAACTATACTTGGTCACATTTTCAGATAGCAATAACCCTTGATTTCCAATACAGCAAACGTTAAGGAACAATAATAGAAAATACGAAGTCCAAGAAGCATGCCTATATCCTGCATGGATAGGATATACCAATGCATATGGAATAACACAAAGTATAGAATAAGACATTACCGTATAACCAGTCTTTGAAGCATACATGGAGAGCACTTGATAGTTCTCGTTTCCGGCTGTCTTCAAGCTGAGTTTCCCTCAAAATTTGCTTAACTTCCACCAGATTTTTGAGCTGGAAGTTCAAGAATAAAATATAACTCATCAGACAATTTTAAATTTGAACAATTTAAGGATGGTAAATTGAAATTCTAAATAACAACCTGCCTCCCCCCCCCCCCCCCCCCC